TAGGTGACAAGTTAAAAATATTATTTTATCATAAATATATAAAAAAATATAAAAATTGATATTAATCTTAATATTAATTTTAAGTTGATGAATTTAATTAAACAATTAATAAAGATCAGTTTTTATTTTTTCATATAAATCAGATAATTTAATTGATATGTCTTTGTTGCTTTATTAATTTTTACATTTTTCTTTCGCCTTCTTCTTAATTTTTTATTCAATCTAGTAATTTGTATTATCATTTTATAGTCTATGATATTATTGTGTTTTATAATTATATTTTCTATTGTTTCATACTTTGATTTTTTTATCTAATTAAATATATTCAAAATATTATTAAAAAACTAATAAGTCTGACCAAACCATACCAATTGAATCTAAATTGAATTAATTTAGTTATAATATAATAGTATATTAGATTAGTTTATAACTTTTACTAAATAATTAAAGGAAACATAAAAAAACAGGATGTCCTGTTTTTCCAAACACCCATAATAAAATTTGTTTGGTTATAAAATGTCAAAATCTGATCCAATCCATGCTGTGAACACCCCTAACCATAAGCATCCTTGTTCTTCTAGCATTCCCTAACTATTCTTTTTTTTTTTTCCCTTGGTGTCTTTGAAAAATTTCTCAAGTTTTTTAAAAAATTAGTTGCTGAAAAATTGTGTGCAAGTGTTGATCCTAGCTCTAATTTGAATTAATTACCTAGTCCATGTCTGGAAATTTGGCCCATCAGTGGCCTAATTATATGCTGCTAATTAAGAAATCAGCTTTAATTTGAATCCAGTTGCTATTGACTAGTAAGTTAAGTGACTCAAGCCAAATTCATCTACAACTAAGAAATCAGAAGGAAATTAAAGAAAATTTAAATGACTTGAGCTAAAGGCCTATACATCAAAGAAGATATGATATATTTGCTTTACGTAGGAGACCTGGAGAAGACTTATTCATGGCCTAAGATGTCCATTTCTTAGCTTATCTTACTCTAAAGAAATAGCATTTCACATGCCAAAATCCTTATTAGTCACGACTTAAGAATTTTAGTTAATTTATCTCACTCTCTTCATTCTTTTTTTCTATACATTTTATCGTGAAAAATAGTTCAATGATATATATATATCCCTTATATATATAAACTTTATATATATATCACTTATATATATTTATCCTTTATGTACATAAGCTATGGCCCATTAGTACCCTATTCTCTGTACACTGCCAAGAAATTAACTCTAATTTGAATCCACTTGCTATTGACTAACAAGTCAAGCGATTCAAGCCAAACCTATCTACATACATCTCAGAAATCAAAAGGATAAAGAACATTTTTGGCCAATCTAGCTTGCAGCTAGTGTATATTGATTGTGAAATTAATTGACTTCAGCTAAAGGCTTCTACATCAAAGAA